ATGACAATTGAGATTTTTGATACTGTTGCCATTGTGATATGCATCACTCAAAACCCCAATGTACCAAATCTGGGAAGATTCAGACAACATCTAAATTTCGACCAATCAAATACCTCTATCTTGTTTCCTAGGCAACTGAGCTTTTCGAAAGTGTTACCATTATGTTCGACATCCCTCGTAACTCCTAAATATCAATTTTGGGCACAATCAGACAACCTTTAAATATCGACCAATCAGAGGCCCAATTTTCGTTACCATGACAATTGAGATTTTTGATACTGTTGCCATTGTGTTCTGCATCCCAAAAAACTCCTATGTACCAAATCCGGGTAGAATCAGACAACATCTAAATTTCGACCAATCAAAGACCTCTATCTCGTTACCAAGGCAACTGAGCTTTTCGAAAGTGTTACCATTGCGATCGGCATCCCTTAAAAATCCATTGTATCAACTTTAGGCATAATCGGACAACATTTAATTATTGACCAATCAGAGGCCCAAATTTCGTTACCATGGCAACTTTCATTTTTGATACTGTTGCCATTGTGATCTGCATCCCTCGAAACCCCTATGTACCAAATCTGGGTAGAATCAGAGGTTCATTCCCATTTATCCAACTTTTTGAAAAATAGGTATTACAGGTAAAAAGTTTGGGTTGGATAAGTGGGAATAGGGTATATTGTCAAAACAACAAACACTAATTGGAGCTTGGGTCAAGTGTTGGGTTAAAAATATGATACAGAAATTAAGTCCTTTTGGAAATGTGTATCTATATTCAAAGTTATTTCTATTAAGTTGATTTGAACGCTTCATTTTGTTTTTATTTGTGTTTTTTTTTATTGATTCTGTAGTTATGATATATGCTTTCACAATAAGACTAATTTCTATTATCAATATATTTATTCAAATAATATCAGACATATACATTATTAACAGACATATTAATTATTAAATATACAAAATGATACAAAATAATATTTATTTCATAATTTAATATAAAGCACTAGAAATAGGATGATAGCAATATGAATCATTTTACATGATAGAAAAGTTACAATGTATAGTAAATTTCATATTTAAAATATTTGAATTAAGCAAAGCACTATATCAATCGAATATTATAGAGTCATATCAGTTCATTGAAGTTTCAGCAGGCGTGACACTGTGTCTGTATACTGGTAGATGTCAACTTCCCCTTGAATGAGTCGTTGTTTCTGTCGCTGAAGTCTGGAGTCTAGGATTCTGTATTTCAGCTTTCTTGTCTTTCTAGTGCCTCCAGCTGCATACTGGATAAGTCGGATCTCATTTGCTGCTTGAGTGTGCTCGAGTTTTTCGATGATGACGTAGAGGTTTGGGTGTGCCCTGTGAAGTTGGTTGTTGAGTTTGTGGTGCCATCCTTCTAAATGGTTTGTTGTTCTGCGTCCAATTGTTGAGTAGTGATTCCATTTTGCTGTCTTCATCCCGATCCATTGCTCAGTTACGTAGTCGTTGAACTTGGTGATCTTTGCGTCATCGGTCTCTTAGTCTTCAATTGCGTGGAACCATACATCATCTACTTGGTTGATGGGGACTAGTGGCAATGCTGAAGCTCGTCTTATATGTAGGTTGAGTAGGTTGTCGTTGGTGTACTGGTCTGCTAGTCTAAGTTTCTGTACCTTTCTCCATATGCGTTTGCAGTAGGGGAATAGACAACCTTTGATCGACGCTTGTGGAAAGACTGTCTCTGCTGCGTTACGGGCTGAAGACTCGAAGTCGAGGAATATAGTGGTTGGATTGAGTTGTGTGTTGTTGTTTGCTGCTGCTGTCTTAACGATCTCGAATAGGCGTTGGTAGGAGATCTGGCATTTGTCAGGTAGGAAGGCGAATATTAGTGGGTACATCTCGTCCTTTATGAGTGCATGCAGTGCGTACAGCTGGGTGAAAAGTACAGGACTGGCGTAAAAAGTTCCATCCCCAAATATTGTGTCAGCGTTACTTAGATGGTGGAGGTTGCCTGTAGTACCAAATACCAGGATCTTGTTGTGGTCGCCATCATCTGCTAGTAGGAATTGTGCTCCTGTAGTAGTCTCTTGCCATTCTCCCAGGACATTAATGGCATCATGTGTGGTTGGTTGTGGTGGTAGTTCACTGTTGCGTTCTCGGTACATAGCTGATTTGGTACTGACGAAAGTTGGTATCTGTTCAACGACCTGGTGTGTGTGATCGTCCCATTCTTTGTTTCTGAATTTGATGATCTCGCTGTAGTGGTTCCAGAGTTTTGGCTGCCTTTTCTCTGAGTGTTGCTAGAAATTTCTTGGCATCTATGTGGTGGTTGGTTGTGGTCTCTCGGAAATCTGGTTACCATGTTGTCTGTGCCTGGGCAATCTTTCTCGGCGCACTTCCAGTAGGCTAGTTCTGCATCTCTACCCTGTTTTCTGGTCTTTATCACATATCTGTAGCCGTTTACAGCTAAGTAGTGGCCTCTAGCATGTCGAATGTAGTCTACTCTTACTTGTGCGTTCGCCATGGTCACACTTGAATAATGAATTTTGTCAGTGGGTCAGTGCTTATAAGCTAAAAACTAGCTTGGGATGCTTAGTGAGTCGTTTTCAAAATGTATGAATAAATTAGTAGAAAAAGGCGTGGGTGCTTCTTTAACACTGTTCAAAGCTTATTAATTAGGTATATGCTCAAATCAGATTAATTGGGATTCTAAGTGAATACTACCGAAAAAAATATAAGTTATTATTTGATAATGATATAACAATTATTCATGCTNCTCTATCTCGTTACCAAGGCAACTGAGCTTTTCGAAATTGTTACCACTGTGATCGGCATCCTTCAAAACCCCTATGTACTAAATCTGGATAGAGCCAGACAACATCTAAATATTGACCAATCAAAGACCTCTATCTCGTTACCAAGGCAACTGAGCTTTTCGAAATTGTTACCATTGTGATCGGCATCCCTCAAAACTCCTATATATCAATTTCGGGCACAATCGGACAACATTTAAATATCGACCAATCAGAGGCCCAAATTTCGTTACCATGATAATTGAGATTTTTGATACCATTGCCATTGTGATCTGCATCCCTCGAAACCCCAATGTACCAAATCTGGGTAGAATCAGACAACATCTAAATTTCGACCAATCAAATACCTCTATCTTGTTTCCGAGGCAACTGAACTTTTCGAAAGTGTTACCATTATGTTCGACATCCCTCGTAACTACTAAATATCAATTTTGGGCACAATCAGACAACCTTTAAATATCGACCAATCAGAGGCCCAATTTTCGTTACCATGACAATTGAGATTTTTGATACTGTTGCCATTGTGTTCTGCATCCCTCGAAACCCCTATGTACCAAATCTGGGTAGAATCAGACAACATCTAAATTTCGACCAATCAAAGACCTCTATCTTGTTACCAAGGCAAATGAGCTTTTCGAAAGTGTTACCATTGTGATCGGCAGCCCTTAAAAATCCTTTGTATCAACTTTAGGCATAATCGGACAACA